TGCACTGCCCAAGATAGGCGCCACTATACCGTATTGTCCACCATTTGTCTGTCAGTTTGTCATGCAGTGGTAGCTTGGGTGCTGCTATGAGGCTGGAAGCTATGCCACAGGTATTTCAAATACCAGCAGGGTCACACATGGTAGACAGGTTTTAGTACAGCTTCCAGACAAAGACAGACTGGAAAGAAGTGCAGGGCCATCCACTTCTGGAAAAAAAAAAATGGCCACTGAAAACCTTATGAACAGCAGTAAAACACTGACTGATATATTACTGGAAAACTTTATGAAGAGCTATGAAACACTGTCTGATACAGTGCCCGAAGATGAGTCCCTCAGGTTGGAAGACACTCAAAATATGACTGGGGAAGAGCTGCCTCCCCAAGGCAGAGTCAACCTTAATGATATGGGTGGAGTAAAGCTTTAGGGACCTTCATTTGCTGATGGGGCATGACTCAAAATTGGAAGAAAAAGCTGCAAACATCCATTAATAATTGGAATGTGGAATGTACGAGGTATGAATCTAGGAAAATTGGAAGTTGTCAAAAATGAAATGGAATGCTTAAAGATTGATATCCTAAGCATTAGTGAGTTGAAATGGACTGGTATTAGCCATTTTGAATCAGACAGTCATACTATCTATTATGCCGGGAATGATACATTGAAGAGAAACGGGATTGCATTCACTGTCAAAAAGAACATCTCAAGATCTAACCTGAAGTACAATGCTGTCAGTGATAGGGTAATATCCATATGCCTACAAGGAAGAACAGTTAATACAACTATCATTCAAATTTATGCACCAGCCACCAAAGCCAAAGATGAAGAAATTGAAAAATTTTACCACTTCTGCAGTCTGAAATTGACCAAACATGCAATCAAGAGGTATTATTATTGCTGGTGATTGGAATGAGAAAGTTGGAAACAAAGAAAAATCATTGGTAGTTGGAAAATATGGTCTTGGTTATAGAAATGATGCCAGAGATTGCATGATCGAATTTTACAAGACCAATGACTTATTCATTGCAAATACCTTTTTTCAGCAACATAAGCAGTGGCTATACACATGGACTTTGCCTGATGGAATACACAGGAATTAGAGTGATTATATCTGTGGAAAGAGGCAATCAAGAATCTCAATATCATCAGTCAAAATAAGGCCAAGAAATGACTGTGGAACAGACCATCAGTTGCTTATATGTAAGTTCAAATTAAAGATGAAGAAAATTAAAATAAGTCCTTAAGAGCCAAAATATAACCTTGATTATATCTCACCTGAAGTGAGAGACCATGTGAAGAACAGATTCGATGCAGTGAAACCAACGACCGAAGGCCAGATGAACTGTGGGATGACATCAAGAATATCATCCATGAAGAAAGCAAATGGTTATTAAAAAGACAAGAAAGGAAGAAAAGACCAAAATGCATGTCAGAAGAGACTCTGAAACTTGCTCTTGAATATAAAGTAGCTAAACTGAATAGAAGAAATGCTGAAATAAAAGAACTGAGTAGAAGATTTCAAAGGGCAGCTCGAGAAGACAAAGTATAGTATTATAATGAAATACGCAAAGACCTGGAGTTAGAAAACCAAAAGGGAAGAACATGCTCAGCATTTCTCAAGTGGAAAGAACAAAAGAAAAAATTCAATTGCAATATTGAAGGATTCTATGGGCAAAATATTGAATGTTACAGGAAGTATATGATAATAGGAAGTATCAAAAGAAGATGGAAGGAATACACAGAAGTCACTGTATCAAAAAGAACTGATTGATGTGCAACTATTTCAGGAGGTGGCATATAGTCAAGAACAAATGGTATTGAAGGAAGAAGTCCAACTTGCATTGAAGGAATTGATGAAAAACAAGGGTCCAGGAATTGAGATGTTTTAACAAATGGATGCTGCACTGGAGGCACTCAGTTGTCTATGCCAAGAAATTTGGGTGACAGCTACCTCGCCAAGTGACTGGAAGAGATCCACCAAAGAAAAGTGATCAACAGAATGTGGAAATTATCGAGCAATATCATTAATATCCCATGCAAGTAAAATCTTGCTGAAGATAATTCAGAAAATGATTGCAGCAGTATACTGACAGGGAATTTACAGAAACGCAAGCTGGACTCAGAAGAGGATGCGGAATGAGGGATGTGATTGCTGATGTCAGATGAATCTTAGCTGAAAGCAAAGAATACCAGAAAGATGTCTACCTGTGTTTCACTGACTATGCAAAGGCATTCAACTGTGTGGATCATAGTGTTATGGATAACATTGTGAATAATGGGAATTCCAGAACACTTTTGTTCTCGTGAGGAACCTGTACATAGATGTCCTGTTGTTTAAACGGAACAAGGGGACACTGCATGGTTTAAAATCAGGTGTGCATCAGGGTTGTATCCTTTCACCATACTTATTCAATCTGAATGCTGAACAAATAATCCAAGAAGCTGAACTATGTGAAGAACAATATAGCATTAGGATTGAAGGAAGAACCATTAACAACCTGTCATATGCAGATGATACAACCTTGCTTGCTGAAAGTGAAGATGACTTGAAGCACTTACTGACGAAGATTAAAGACTACAGTCTGCAGTATGGATTACACCTCAACATAAAAAAAATGAAAATCCTCACAAGCGGATCCATAATCAACATCATGATAAATGGAGATACGATTGAAATTGTCAGGAAATTCATTTTACTTGATCCATAATCAACACCAATGGAAGCAGCAGTCAGGAAATCAGATGTTGTATTGCACTGGGCAAATCTGCTGCAAAAGATCTCTTTAAAGTGTTAAGAAGCAAAGATGTCACTTTGAAGACTATGGTGCACCTGATCCAAGCCATGGTATTTTCAGTAGCTTCATATTCATGTGAAAGCTTGACAGGAATAAGGAAGACTGAAGAAAAGTTGATGCCTTTGAATTAGGGTGTTGGCAAAGAATACTGAATATACCATGGACTGCCAGATGAACAAACAAATTTGTCCTGGAAGAAGTGCAATTGGAATGTTCCTTGGAAGCAAAAAGGGCCAAACTTTGTCTCACCTACTTTGGTCATGCTGTCAGAAGGGACCAGTCGCTGGAGAAGGATATCATACTTGGTAAAGTAGAGGGTCAGTGATAAAGGGGAAGAACCTCAACAAGATGGACTGACACAGTGGCTGCAATGAGGGGCTCAAGGATAGCAAGGATTGTGAGGATGATGCAGGACTGGGCGATGTTTCATTCTGTTGTAGACAGGGTCACTATGACTTGGAGCTGACTTGATGGCACTGAACAACAACATAATGCACTGTATACAGTTTTCATTGACTGGTTTTAGAAGGAGATTTTCAGGCTTTTCTTCCCAGTCTGCCTCAGTCTGGAATCCACTGAAACCTGTTCAGCATTACAGCAACAAGCAAGCCTTCACTGCCAGACTAGTTGTGGCTGTGTATGAAGTTCACTGGCTGGGATTCAAATAGGGTCTCCTGCATAGGAGAGAATTCTACACCTGAACCACCACTGCCCTTACCAACCACTATTTAAATTTCAATTAATGAAGATTAGAGTACATGGGAGGGAAGCTATGGGGAGGAAATGGGAGGAGAGCTGTTGCACTGTGGGAAATTGCAGTCAAAGTCATGAGACAAAGTGTATGTGAACTGCTGTACGGAAGATGAATTTGCTCTGTGAGCTTTCACCCAAATCACAATAAAAAAATTGTTTAAAAAATTCAATTAATGAAGATTAAATAAATCTTAAAATTTAGTTCCTTAGTACGCTTGCCACATTTCAAGAGCTCAGAAGCAACATGTGGCAAGTGGCTACCATGTTGGCCAATGCAGATAGAGAACATTTCCATCATCACAGTAAGTTCTATTGGACAGTGCTGCTCTAGATGCATTCTTAAGGACCTTTCTTATTGTTGTTTCTATTCAACAAATAGTCATGGACCATTACACTAAATACTGCCTTCTGCTATTATATTATATGTTAACATTAGATATTGTGTTTAGACAAGGGACATGTATTCAAAATTTAGACCTAACCATGGTATACCATGTTTCAAGGCTTCAGCTCGTTTTTAGTATGTGCATTCAGAATGAGGTCTCCTCTCCATTCTAAAGCTATTTGCTGACATTTCAAAGGTTGCAAATAATGTAGAATCCAAGCTCCATTCCTGTCTGTGCTAATTCTTAAGAAAACTGCTCAACAACCAAGATGCAGTGCTGTCGATGCCCCCTGCCAGGCTTTGCTGGGATCAACACATTTGGTGTTACGTTTCACTTGTTCAGGAATCCTGCTGACTGGCAGCCCTCAGGAGCGACACATGCTGGCAAGTCAGCCCCACTCCCCAAATTACCTCCCAGCTTTGATGCACCCTGGTGACTCAACTTGCCTTTGTGTTAACAGAAACCCTTTTTCTGCTTGACACATTTCCACACTTTGGGCAGACTTTTCCTCTGCCTTAGAAAAGCTGACATCAATAGTGCTTCCTCCATGAAGCAAACCCCCAGGGATAACCCATTATGCGGGGGTGAGTATTGGGTGCCACAAGACCCAGAAACAGTGTGTGTCCCAATGGAGCTAACAGAAACTAGGCTGTTCAATTTATTTCTCTGCTGTTAATTCCAAGGTGCTGTTACTTCAAACTGTAATAGTGTCTACAAACAATTTGCACTTTTGGAGCAGCATGATCCCAGGGGGTAATTAACACACCCAGGGAATAATCTTTTTAAAAGCTTTTAAAAGCAACACAGACCAAGGCCACCATCGATGAAATCAAATCAATCCCATTTCTCTGTCATTTTGGAAGATACCTGGGTGACTCCTAGAGAGGTTTGTAGAGCACAGGTCCTGGGCTTTATGGAAAGTTCCTTAAAATGTGTTAATTAGAAATCAAATGCAGTGTGTTTATTAGCTGCAAAGCTTTCTGAATGGAGCAGATTCTGAAGACGGGCTATGATTCTATGAAGCAGAGCAGAGTTAACAGGGGACACCCCAGGGCTGAGAATTCCATACCATTCACCATCCCAAGGTAGAAGACCGCGTTCACCAGCACGCCTCCTTTCCGGAAGTGGTCACTCATGTGCTCCAACCAGTTGGCGTCCAAACTGCTCACTGTCTGACCATTCTTGGAGACCCGGAGAGGAATGGTCACAGGATAGTACTGCCGACACTTCTGCTGGCTCTTCGGTTTATTGAACAGGGCAAAGATCTCCATTTCTGATAGTATTTGCAAAGAGAGAAGGGAGAGAAGAAGTCAAATGGTGGTAAAATCTGCTTCATTGGGTCTAGTGGAATTTTTAGAAGCCTGAAGAAATGAAAGAAAAAGTAGGATCTGTTAGGCTGTACTACCAGTACTGTCTTATGATAATGCCATGTGTGTCAGAGTACAACTGTGCTCTGTAAAAACCAAAAAAAGGAGAAAAATGATAATGTCATGTGTGTCAGAGTACAACTGGGCTCCATAGGGGGTATTAATAGCTGATTTTTTGGAGGCAAATTGCCAGGTCTTTCTTCTGAGGCACCTCGAGTGGACTTGAACCTCTAACCTTTTGGTTGACAGCCAAGCACATTAACAGTTTGCACCACCCAGGGACTCTCAGTTGCAGTACTGACAAAGAATAAAAACCCCATTCCAAGCAGTGAATTGAGGCTGCCTGAAAAGGTTGAGCTTCAGGTGGGGGGCGCAGGTTTTAAATCTGGAATATAATGAACAGCTGCTCTCTGGGATTAATTTATACAGTTAGGTGCTTGAGAAAAGAGCATAGTAGACATAGCTAGAAATTCAAATAAAGATGTGTATTGGAAGTAAAAACAAACATATTTGGACAAAAGCTGGTCTTTGGAAAAACAAAGTAAATGCACAGAGGCACATAAAAACAAAAATACGATTCTAATTCCAGGAAGTTTTACACCCCTCAATTCACTATTTATAAACTGCAGTGGTGTTTCCTGGGGCCGAACCCATAATACTTAATCAAGTACATCAAAAATACATCATTGATAAGTAAAAATAAATACATTCCCGTAAATGAGGGTTCCTGCCTGGAGTGGCAGGTCAGCTTGAGCGGCGGGGACTGGGAGGGAGGCGCCAAGCTTTCTGTTACTTCATTTATAACTCAGTTCTTCAGAAATCAATAATCCCTCCCACCTGACAGCTGTTCTGTGCCTGATGGACGTGCTGCCGGGCATGAGTTAGCAATATTAGCCTCCAGGAGCAAATACCTGAAATTCCAATCTAAGTCTGAAGGTCTATTTTTGTATTACTCATTTAGTCAAGCAATCAGCAATGACCCAACTTAAAAAGCTTTGCTTACACAGGCTAGTCAGAAATAGGCTAAAAAAAAAGAAAGTATGTTTGCATGATAAGAAAATCCCCACCTTTCATTGAAAGAAAAATGTGAAAGGTCATAAAGAATGGTTGACATTAGCAAAAAAGACAAAGTATGTTCATGTCCCCAGTACAAAACACTAACCCTGGCCCACATTTGGGGGACACTGTTTTCCAAATTATAGTTATCTCATAATACGTGCGGTATCCAAGTATTCAGTGAATTATTGTCATTTTTTTATTTTTTTAAGTTGACTCACTTTCTTTGAGGAGCTCTGGTAGCATAGTGCCTAAGGCACTTGACTGCTAACCAGAAGGCTGGCTTTCAAACCCACCAGCCACTCTGCAGAAGGAAGGTTGGGCAATCTACTTCTGTAGTGATACTGCCTCAGAAACCCAAGGAAGGGTCACTATGAGTCGGGGCCGACTCGACGGCATACAACAACAACAACACTTTCTTTGACACAAATGCATTTAAAAAGGAAACACTGTGTTATGATCAAAAAGGGAAGCCACTACTATTACTATAAATAGGAGGTGACAATAAAGCACATTAATACCAAACATGTTCATCCACTTACCATCTACAATCATCACAGAGGTGCCATATTCTGGGATAAAGGAAGTCTTTTCACAGGCCCATCTGAACAAACATCATCTGAGCATTCTCTGGGAATCAATGCTGGGCCATAGGATTTGGTCATTAGCAACAGTCAGACTAATAGGTAAGCCATTTCAAGCTATCTGTCTAATAGAACCAATTTGGAAGGGATAGGGCCCATTTTCAACAACACCATTTTGTGACTTTGAAATATAAAGCTTAGAATGGAGTTGTGTAAAGAAAGGTCTATACTGAAGGGGAATCAAGCACAGCACTAGATCTGGGGCCAGGGAGCAGAAAGTAAACTAGATGATCAGGTGTATTCCAGTCCTGGGTGCCAAGTGTTCAAATAAAAGCTATAGCTACTAAGGGCAAGAGGATAAACAATGCTTTAGCGAGTCATTGCCTAAGTGAGTCACTGACTCCATTTAGATGCCTTCAAAAGTAGACCCTGTAAGGTTTTGGGTGCAAAAGTTTATTGGGGAAGTGATTCCAGGAAACAGAGAGAAGTGAATTACGGAAGAGAGGCAAGCCAATGAAGGCAAGGCAACTGGTGTCAGTTCCACTGGGGCTCCTTGGAGAGACAGTGTAGAACACGCCTCAGACTGTCCTACCAAGGGGCAAGGAAGCTAGGGCATTTATCTACTAACTCTAAGCTCATGGGTTAACTCCTTGGGCATTAATTTCCTAGGACATCTGGCTTGCTCTATTGGCAATGGCCAGAACTGCTTGCAGGTGACCTCAAGTGGGTTAGGGCACCAATCACTATAGTCTGCCCAAATACATAAGAAAAAAAAAAAAAAAAAACCAGCGTTTGCATAGGAGACCCACCCGTTGCTATCTAATCGATTCTGACTCACAGCAACCCTCACTGGGTTTCCAAGGCTATAAATCTTTATGGAAGCAGATTGTCTCATCTTTCTCCTGTGGAGTGGCTGGTGGGTTCCAATTGCTGACTTTTTGGTTAGCAGCGAATGCCTTAACCACAGCGCCACCAGAGCTCCTTGACTGGGAGCAGTGAGTAGGAAATATGGAAAGGGTAAGAGTTAAAAAATAAATGGCATTTAATCACACAGAATGAACCCCTGCTCATATGACAAGTCAAAAACATAACTTTCCCAAATGCACAATGAAATAGAAAAAGGGGAAGGGCCGAAAGGAGAATCAAGAATGCTGGGGGTGGGGTGGAGGGAAGACAGAGACTCAGACAAGGTAGACAGTGTTGACAGTGGACACAGCTTTCCCGGCTGGATCCTTCCCAGGACAGAGGACAGAAGCCAGAGACAGAAATAAATTTTTCAGGAAGGAAAAGGAAATGTTGTTGGAATTAAGAGCCTCAAAAGCATTTGTAGCAATGAAATATTGGGAGAATCTTGATTTCAGATATGTAACCCTTTAGTAAACTCCTCTGTCCCATGTTTCCTTGGCCACACTTCTTTCTCTACTCCCATGGAAACCAGCCAAGAGAAACTGTCCAAAAATGATGCCCTTTGATGTTTTAATACTCTAGTTCTCCAACAGACAGCTTCACATGAGCACACATGAGCAGGCATCAGAGACTCCAAAAAGAAGCCCTTGAGTTTGTTTAAATTTCCTCAGCTGCTCTGTGACTCTGCCATGACCCTAACTGGAAGATTTTTCCAGACACGGGACAGAAAGTCCCAAAGGAGGGGGAACGGCATTGTTTCGGAGCATGCTCTAAGAAGGGCAGAAGAACTGGACAGCTGAGCACCCAAGGCACATCAAGCCTGTCTTGTCTTTCTTCCTGTCCCTTCCTGTCTTGTTATCTGTTATTTCTCCCTGCACAGGGTCTTGCCTTGCTTCATGTGGAGACCTGTTGTTGTTGGGTGTCGTTGAGTTAATTTTTGACTCACAATGACCCCATGTGACAGATTAGAACTGCCCCATAGGGTTTTCTTAGCTGTGATCCTTATGGGAGCAGATAGCCAGGTCTTTCTCTGGACAGCTGCTGGGTGGGTTCAAACTGCCAGCCTTTCAGTTAGCAGGTGAGTACTTAACCATTGAACCACCAGGGTTCAATGTAGGTGTAGTGCAGTGTAGGTGCTGCATATATATTTGCCAGATTAACCTAAACCAGACAAGTGCAGGAAGCTAGAGGAGGAAGAGGGGCATGTAGCCTAAGACTGGGGGTTGCTGGGTGTGCTGCGTGCCTGATAGCCTGGTCTGCTCATCCTGATCTTGTTCAACTACATGGAGTGGGGAGCAGAGAAGCAGATGCCTAGCAGTACTGCCTGTGTGCAGGAGTAGGAATTTAGGCACAGGATGAAGTCTGCAGTCTATCCACAGGTATGGTCCCAAAAAGCCCATGACTTGCAGGTGAGCAAGGGGTCTGGCTGTGTTCTGGTGTTCAAGAAGACCACAGGTCTCAAGAGAAGTGAGAGCTCGCAGTCTGCCTTAAACCTTAGGGCTCGAAAAGCAACGTGGTAGAAAGAGGAGGCTGGTAAGAATGTGTCTGGAAGGAGTAAGTGGAAGTCACATTTGTGCGGCAGCCTGGGTTGGGTGGAGAGTGAGGTCGGCTGAGGTTACTGGGAAGGGGGAGCTAAAAGACAAAATGTTTGCCATCGGGGAGGCAGGGCTTCAGGCACTGCAATGGGAAGAGAGGGCAGAGGGGCCTCAGCTGCCCTGTCCAGATTCCTGAGTCCAGAGGAAGCCTGTTTGTGGCTCTGGTTGTCCCAGGGTACAAAGAGGACCTTTGCATGACAGGGCTGCAGGGAAAGGCAGAGGTGTGGAAACACCTTGTGCACAGCAATGCCTGGGAGGCTGTTGTTCAGGATGAGAGCACACGTGCCATGCTTACAATGGTCTTTCACCTTCATCATCTTGTGTGACCCTCTGACGCCATGGGAGGGGACTGCATTGGTTCCATGCCCAGAGTGGTGAGTGGATCCCCCAGAAATCATAAGGCTGTAAATGGCAGAGCCAAGAGTCTTTCAAACTCCAAACTCCGGGCTGTTTCCCAAATCTAACAAGAGGCTAATCTCATCAGGACATAGAAAGCAGGAGCTGATGATGACAGGTGGGAGTTCAATAGCTGTTTGCTAATGGACTCCATGATGGGCCAGGAAAATGGTGGCAGGTGGCAGATCTGGGACGGGCTGGAACCATGGGGTAGAACTATCTTGAGGGAGGAAGGGGTGTGGATATTGCTTGAGAGTTAGGGAAGGAGGCCAAGCATCTGAAAAGCTAGACTCAGGAGGGCACTACTCTCTCTCTCTCCCCGTGAGTTTTAGATGTTCACAATGAGCTGGCTGCCAAGGAAGTCTACTG